GTTTTTTTTGTTGATTTTTTTTTTTTTTTTTTTTTTTTTTTTTTTTACACCCTAGACCAAAACAAGCCCTTAACCTTTGCAATGTGGGGGTAGCCCACTTTTATTTCTCCCCGGAGTTCTTCTTTAAAGAGTACATGCACAGAACTTTATATGAACATAAAATCAGGGACGTTAGTTGTATCGTGACCAAGTTCTTCCTTTATCTTTTAATATTGGATAACTGTTTGGAACTTTTTGACAATTCATGTTAGAAGTGCTAATTTGCATTCTAAGATTAAGAATTCTGGAGGAGTTCAAATGAAATATTGACATTCTTCCACAAAACACATTTTAGGACCACCCAACATAAATCCTATAAAATTATTAATAAGCACCCTAGAAATAAAAAGGAAAAACGTAATGTGTTCATTGGGAATGTATAGTGATTCTGCACTATTATGGTCAGGAATGTTTAAAGAATTAAAGCTAAACTCCAACCAGGACAATTTTAATAGCATTATAAAGGTACTTACCTTTTTTGTTTTGAAAGTGTCATCCATTTCTTTTTGCAGTCTCATTCCTGCTCTGTATGCTGTCTTCTTGCTTGTGCGAATGGGCGCGACTGTTTGCTTCCAATGGAGAAACTGCTCCTGGTCGCACACCCTCCCCATTGTAGTTTGCAGAAGGTGGAGGAACTGTGTTTATGTCAGCCTTTCTTCTGTGGATGAGCACAATCGGAACCCAGTCGGACCAGCCCACATCCATTGATTTAGCTGTTATTCCAATGAGTGCTACTCTAATAGTAGAGCTGCAGCTAACGATTATTTTCAAAATCGATTAGTTAGCCGATTATTAAGTTATAGCTCCACCTGCACACTCTCACATCCTGTTGGGCATTCCCATTGAATTATGGGAAATGTAGAGCTCTTTTTTTTTTTTCTTGCCCTCCCTTGTGGATTTGACATGCAGCACAAGTGTATTCCTCTCCCCTCGCCCAGGAACATTGCATATTTTTAAAGCAGCTGATTACCTCACTGGGGATTAAAATAATTTTAATTAAAAAAAAAAAAGGTGCAATTTTAAAACCTTTTTCAGTGATTTAATTGAGCATTGGGAGAGGGGTCTGGTTATAGAACGTTGGCAGGATCCTTGAGTTTAGCTTTAATATAACTAAAAAAAATTAAGTTATACAAGTGCAGTTAAACAGTATACCGCATGATAGTCTCATTTTATCGAAAATAAAATGCTTTTCCCCAAAAAATGTCAAGTCAATCATAAGGAAATTGTATGGGAAGGTCCAATTAATATGGCAAGTAAGTTGCGCTCGGTCTATGTGAATACAAATTCTATAAGATTCTATAAGTGTTATTAAACAATCTATCAATCCAACAAAAAATCAAAACCGTGTACAAGTACCGAAAATCAATATCTCGGCATGTGAGATGTTGAGCTCGATCAGTGTAACCAAAAAAAAACACTTTGATGTTTGAAACATGTGTCAAAGTGTTTTTTTTTTGGTTACACTGATCGAGCGCAACAAACCTGTCACATAAACACTTATTGATACACTGTGTTGCGGTTGACATTGTTACAATTTTATTTCACATGCCGAGATAATGATTTTCGGTACTTGTACACGGTTTTGATTTTTTGTTGGATTGATAGATTGTTTAATAACACTTATAGAATTTTTGTATTCACTTAGACCGAGCGCAACTTACTTGCCATACAAATATCCACCTACACACATTGTTGCGGCTGGTCGAATTAGTTATTTAGGCACTCCCAGCGCAGTGATTTTTGCATTAGAGGTCCAATTAATAGGCGTATACACGAAAAAGACTATATTTTATTTTTTTTCTTTAGTTGAGCATAGGTCATAAATAGGGATGCACTGATACCGAGTATTTGGGCGAGTACTCATACTCCAGCCCAAATGGTCCGATACTTACCTCTGATACCGGAACTTCTGGTCAGAGGGAGATCTCTCTCTGAGTGCAAGTGCTGAGGGAGCATGGAGCCGGCTTCCTTTCCAATCAGGAAGCCGGGCGGAAATTAATGACCCACTTCCCAGCTTCCTGATCGGTCAGGAAGCCAGGCTGCCTAGGAACTAGTTAAGCCAGCTTCTTAGCCAATCAGGAAGCCAGAAGGCGGGTCATGAAGTGCCGCCCAGCTTCCTGATTGGCTAGGATGCCAGCTTCACTTGTCGGTAAGCAGCCTGGCTTCCTCATGAATCAGAAAACCGGACACCACCTCATGACTCAGTGCCCAGCTTCCTGATTGGTCAGGCAGCCTCGGCATGTGAAGTCAGTGTCCTTTTGCTAGAACACTGGCTTCACAGGCAATCAGGAAACCGGGCCATGACCCGCCGCCCGACTTCTGATAATCTGGTACACGGTATCGGCGAGTACCGGAATAAAAAATATCGGAGCTCGATACCGAAAAACCGTTATCGATGCATCCCTAGCCATAAATGAGGACTATCTTTCAGGCTAAAATCTAGGAGTTGCATATTAGAAGGATCAAAATAGTAGGAAAACTTTGACATGTCAGAACGTAATGCCATATTAAATCAAAAGTGCACTACCATCTAGCAAAAGGACAATCCTACATCAGTAATGGGGTAATACACCTGGGAAACACTTTGCAGCAGCGTTGAAAAGAAAGAGACACCATGCATGTATGTATCTTTCTTGAAAAAATTGGACTAGGGCTGCAACTAACGATTGCTTTCATAATCGATTAGTTGGCCGATTCATTTTTCGGTTAATTGGATACCAAAAAGTATTTACATGTTTAATTATTCATTAATAAATATTATTTAATTCTTAACTATTAGTTATTAAATATTAAATGTGTAATATTTTAATGGACATATCATAGTCATTCTTTCTGTATAGCTCTCATCCCTGTCATATGTCACAGAATGAACTTGTGCAGGAAGGAAAATATTACCAAGCAGGCTTCTCTCCCGCCCTTCTCTCACCAGATGCTTTTGTCTGGGGGAATCCGATTGGTTGCACACTTGAATCTGCGTCCTGGTATACGTGTGAGCCAATTGGCTAGAGATTACATTTTTCATCTTGCCATGCTCCGTTCTCGCCTAGCTGAGCGTGGGAGAGGATATTGCTAAACACACTGCACGCAAAGCTCCGCCTGCAGTGTCTTACATTATGCCACTGACTCCACTCACAGCACATACGCACAAACAGTACACAGGCAACACACAAGTCACACGGCAACACGCGGGGCACACAGGCAACACACAATTCACAAATGCAGAAAATGGCAATAGTACATTACACAGCACAATTCAGAATACCACCAGCTATAGAGGCATACAACAAATCCCAGCAATAGTACATTATAGATGGCGGTATTCTGCATTGCCCTGTTTAATGTACTATTGCTGGGATTTGTTGTATTCCTCTATAGCTGGTGGTAAATTATTGCACTGTATAATTATACAGCGCAATGCAGAATACCAGCAGCTATAGAGGAATACAACAAATCCTAGTAAGAATACATTATACAGCGCAATGCAGAATACCAGCAGCTATAATGTACTATTGCTGGGATTTGTTGTATTCTTCTATAGTTGGTGATATTCTGCATTGCGCTGTATAATGATCATACAGCGCAATGCAGAATATACCACCAGCTATAGAGGAATACAACAAATCCCAATTCCCTCCACCCCAAACTTGCTCACCCATGTCTTTATGGACTGTGCACTGGTGCGCAGTCATGTTGGAACAGGAAGGGGCCATCCCCAAACTGTTCCCACAAAGTTATGAGCATGAAATTGTCCGGAATGTCTTGGTATGCTGATACCTTAAGGGAGAACTATGGGTTTAGGGCTTTTCCCCATAGTTCTCCTTAGGGTAACGGGTGGACACAAACTAGCGTCCTCCCGTCACCCTAAGCTCAGTATACCGCGAGCTACAGCTTGCGTTTATACGGAGACGCCGCAGCTAAAGCGGATCCCGACAATTATGTCTAAATCCGCCCAGGCAGAGCCAGCTGTACCCGCCCCCTCCCCGTCTGTTCCGCCAGTCAGTGCTGGCGGATCGGAGCAGGGAGGGGGGAATCCAGCCCCTCCCTTGTCACGGCAGAGAGCTGTGACAGGATCGAGAAGTGAGCGAACGCCGGTATGTGTTCGCTCACCTCCCGATCTACTGAGCCGACCTGTGACAGTCTCATTGTCACAGGTCGGCTAGAACTATGAGGATGAGTGAAAAGCACTCACCTCATAGTTTCCTTTAAGAATTCCTGCACTGGAACTAAGGGGTCAAGCCCAACCTGCCCAACCCCTGAAAAACAACCCCACACCATAATCCCCCCCTCCACCAAACTTTAGACTTGGCACAATGCAGTCAGGCTAGTACCGTTCTCCTGGCAACCGCCAAACTCAGACACGTCCATCGGATTGCCAGACAGAGAAGCGTGATTCGTCACTCCAGAGAACACATATCCACTCCTCTCGAGTTCAGTGGCGGCGTGCTTTTCACCACTGCACCACTGCACCCAACACTTTGCATGGCACTTGGTGATGTAAGGCTTGGATGCAGCTGCTCGACCATGGAAACTCATTCCATGAAGCTCTCTACGCACTGTTGTTGTGCCAATCTGAAGGTCACACGAAGTTTGGAGGTCTGTAGCTATTGACTCTGCAGACAGTTGGTGACTTCTGCGCACTGTGCCCTTCAGCATGCGCTGACCCCGCTCTTCATTTTACGTGGCCTACCACTTCATGGCTGAGTTCCTGTTGTTCCCAGTTGCTTCCACTTTGTTATAATACCACTAACAGTTGACCATGGAATATTTAGTAGCAAGGAAATGTCACGGATGTACTTATTGCACAGGTGGCAACCTATCACGGTACCACGCTTGAATTCACTGAGCTCCCGAGAGCGACCCATTCTTTCACAAATGCTTGTAGAAGCGTCTGCATGCCTAGGTGCTTGATTCTATACACCAGTGGCAATGGAGGTGATTGGAACACCTGAATCCAATCATTCATTTTCTATAATATTCCTATGCCAATTCCTTTTCTACATAAGGAAAAAGTATCCTGTAACAATGGAAAAAAACACATTCCTGGACCCTTTACTTTGGATACAACTAGCCAAAACGAATCTACTAATGTAGAAGCTATGGTACAAGTGTACTCCCAACCTTACACATCACATATTTGGATGCTCCATAGGAGAAAAAAAACACTATTATTCCTTTAACTATTAATTCATAGGTAGTAATGTACAGTTCATGAATTCTGCATGTGGGGCACAATACCTTTTAGAAATGTGAAGGATTTGTGTTCTGCTTGAATACACTGACGTAACATATGTTTACAAATACACTTAAAAGCATCATTAAAAAGTTTTTGAAGACGTCCCTGACATAATCCTTTTTGAACTTTTAGCTGCTTTTACATCAGTCATTTTAATTTAAAGTAGAGCACACCCACACAGTGTTCAGCATTCCTGTTTTCTCTCTCTGCAAATAGTGCCGTAAACAGCAGTTAGTTTAATCTAATTTTAAGATAGATATGTTATATATCACAACAGTTAAGTTGATACTAAAGGTTCATTTCTGTTTTATGATCAAAACTAGCAGGCCCACCTTTGCATGAAATGTATGTTCTTCTTTTTCAAAAAGGTTTTTCTTCCTCGTTCTCTAATGCCGCCATCAGCTAAGTGGCTGCTATGGAGGCACCCGTGCGTGCGTGTTCCTGCAGTGGCTGTGTGCGTCCATAGACACACACAGCCCTGTGGCAGGACACGCCCTTCCACTCTGACCAACAGTTTTAATAATGGCAGAAGGAGCCATCAGTATCCTCCCCCCACAACCAGGAAGAACAGGGAACTGAGGATCGCTTCGGACAAGTGGTGGTGACGTGTAAAAAGTGTGGGGAGGATAGGGGAGAGACAAAGGTATTGGGTGGTTTTCACCCTAACTCAGGGAATGAATTGAGGACAAAAAACACCCTGCTTTTAATTCTTAAATTACTCTTTAACTAAACCCACTAGGTTTCAGTAGACTAAATCTACTGTAGATTAGTAAATTAAAATCTTATGATATTTAGTCGACTAAAACAATTCACGTGACTAAAATATGACTAAAACTAAATAGCATTTTAGTAAAAAGACTATGACCAAAACTAAATCAAAATTAACACGGATTTCTTCCCTATTCATAAATTCCATGACATAACCATATACTGTATACTAGTATATATGGCTGATATACAGTATGTCATAGCTGCAAGCACCCTCTATATTCATTGTTCTACATCTTCTCCCCAGAAAACATGATAATAATATACACCCATCTCCCCCATTACTGAACAAAGGAGTATGTGCACATCCATGGAGTTCTCCTTGTGTTTTGCAAATTCAGTGTTAAACTGAGCACAAAACCAGCAACTTTTTAGAGCCAGTTATACCCTCACAATGTATTAATGTAATGCATATGCAGTAAGAAAGGTGATCTTGTTTACTCTCTTTACCCCCAATCAGTGCACTAATCAACAGTGCCCCTTAAGTGGCAAGAGCACTGTTGATTGCTGCACTGTTCAGGGGTCGGACCAGGGGAGAGCCAGGCCACTGCTTTGTTTGAGAGCCACAGACCTCCTTTCAGATTGCTGCAGCAAAGGATATTTTTATCCTCCAGTTAAATAAAAGATCAGTTTTAATACTGTATATGCAACTTGGATGCATTACAGTAATAGATTGTGAGGGTTCAGTTGGGCTTTAAGCACTTTCATTGTTTAGTTTGCAAAAACCAAAAGTGTCAAGAGAACTTGCAATGTTTCATGGTTTGGGTAGAAGCTCTTAGTGGTAGGTTGCATCGATCAATGGACTAGTCAATGCAACCGCCCTTTGTTTCCTGCATTTCTTTTCTTAGAGACCCTTATCCTAGCAATGATAATCCGAAGAGAGAACTAAAAATATGAACTGTATTGTCTTGCAGAGGGTTGAAGAAGAGGCTCTGGTGAAGAATAGCAGTGCCTGCAAAGATTACCTCATAGAAGCCATGAAGTACCATTTGCTTCCAGGAGATCAGCGAACGTTGATTAAAAGTGCTCGCACAAGGCAGAGGACGCCTATTAGTCTTCCCAAGGTAGGATTTTGCATTTGTTGCATGTTTACGTGCGTCTATTTCAGGGCTCAAAATTTCCACTTGCCCCCTCGCAATTGGCGAGTGAAAATTGCGTGGGGGCGAGTGGAAATCCAGGGGGGGGGGACTTCCGCCCTCGGCAGCGCCGATCGCTGTCTGTTTCCTCCACCCGCTTCTTGACCAACCCTACAAACACCGTTCCTGAGGACCTTTAGGCCCCATGTACACAGGAATTAAAATACATGCTTTCAGTTACATTGGGAGCTAATTTCTGACCGCACCTGAGAGCTTGTAATGCTTTGCTACGGCTGAATGCACAACTAGATGTATCGCAGTGTCCAGGTACTTTCAGTTTAGCTGCGTTTTCTGTGTCCTAGGACAGTTAAGCCAGGTTTTATGTGACTAAAGGCATCCAAATCCAGGAACATCCTGGATGACCTGGGAAGCATAAAAGTTGTTTATACTTCGCAGATAACTTCTCTTTAGTTTATCACAGGGGCCCCATGTGCGAGGCGAATATAAACATTTTCTACATGCACTATTTTTCATACAGAAATCATATTTCCTTTTCAGAAAATACATTTACTATCAAAAACCTACTGGTATTTCAGTCATTTTATCTATCTTTAAAAAAATGTATCTTATTTATTATACTGAGGATGGAGTATTTTATTTCTTTTTTTTACACTTGTACACAGCATGTGGAGTTTTAAGTTAGTCTTCTATAGTAGCTACAGTCACAAAAAGCAGCTGTTTGCTAAAAAGAGTCCTGCGTGTGTCCGAGGATGGACACACCTCCTCCTCACTGCTAGCACAGTCTTATCTAGTGGAATTACTGTCAGAAGACATAAAGGCATTAGAAAGTCTAGCAAGCTTTGCGAACAGTGTCATTTATACACTCTGCATCATAAGTTTATAAAGTTATAAACTTTAAAAGGAATAGCTTTAAATAAAAACAAACCAACAACAACATATGCAACACAATATAATAATAAGAAAGGTGCTGCGGGCACAAAACATGCGTTACATAAAATAAACACCACTGTGAAAGTCCATGTGACGAGCTGTATAATCAATGAAGATTAATTCATCGTATAACGGTTCTAAATAATCTCTTCAAGAAAGTTCAATCTCTCCACTGTGAATCAAAGTGATCCAGTGCTCAAAACACCTCTCTCCAGCAGACTATGACTCCCCAAACAACAATGCCTTTTTTTTACAAATTGGCATATAGCACTTTATACAGATGACTTCCATCTAGCATGGCTTCCAGTTCTGTCTCTTCTCACTTGTGGAACTCCCCATATGGTAAACAGAAAAGGAAGGAAAAGAGGCTCCAATAGTGTAAAACCGTTATGCTAAAATACGCTTTATTCGTATTAAAAACACTTGCAAGAAGCTAGAACAATCCAACATTTATAATGTATTGTGCCCGAAGGAACCTAAAACTGCGGTCTCGGTATCGCCCGATATCTGCTGCGCCACTTCCGATGCGTCACCTCCAGCCCCATCGCTGACATTGCTTCCAGTTGCTGCTTGACCAACGATGATCGCGTTGGTCGAGCGGCAACTAGCATAGTTAGTATACAGAATATGGTCCTGGGTTTCTTGTACTGATTGTCATTGTAATGAAGGGGACCATGCGTGGCCCAGAAACGTTGCAATTTTGATGTGACCATATGCGTGAATAAAAGACGCTTTTTTTGGACATCAGCCATTGGTGTGCTGGTGACACAGCTATATACCACAGCACACGAGCCCCAAAATAATCCCATCAGCATTGACTTTTGATACAGGGGAGGGGATGCACCTCTCCACAATTGATTGGGCCCGGAGGAGGGGGTGGCACTCACAGGGGGTTATTCACAAAAGGGTGAAGAGTGTGGAGAAGGCAGGAGAAGTGAATAATATAGGACAACATAGCTGAACTAGAAAGTGAGCTGAATTGGAGAATTTTTCCAAATCAGCTATGTTGTCCTAGATTGTTCACTTCTCCTGCCTTCTCCAACCTCATCACCCTTTTGTGAATAACCCTGTAGTTTTTGGCATGCTTGGGTGAACTCAGGCAAACTACAAAACTACTCTTTGTAGACTGTTTGATTTTACACTTAATTCTACAACACTAGAAATTATTGTTGCTGAATTAGCCATTTTTACATAAGAATAGCAGACATTTTTTTTCCATTATAGTCTACACATTTCATACAAACGTGAAACTAATGTATGACTATGACACAGCACGTTACATTAAAGCAGAATTTCAGCCAAAAATATCAACATAAAACTATCCCAGTCAGAAGTTTGCATGTTCTCCCTGTGCTTGTGTTTCCTCCGGGTACTCCGGTTTCTTCCTACAATCCAAAGACATGCTGGAAGGTTCATTGGCTCCTGTCTAAATTGGCCTTGCAAGTATGCATGTGCGATAGGGACCTTAGATTGTATGCCCCTTGAGGGCAGGGACTGATGTGAATGCACACTATGTAAAGTGCTGCGTGAGTTGTCGGCGCTATATAAATACATAAATAAATATTGCAGCCTTTGCAGCAATATTTGCTTTCAGTCCAGAGATTTTTTCTTTTGCAGCTAGAGGTCTTCAGTCTGATAACCAGCATCATTCAATCAACTTCCTTTTGATATCCAGTTGTTGCCCTCGTCCCCTCCAGCCTGTGACTAGACAATGAACGGAGAATCACAGTGATGAGCTCATCCCCCTGTCACTAATTTATTTTCCTATCTGCATACTTTTCTTTCTGCCAGATATTACAGCTCTCTGTACCTCCGGCCAACTCCAGGTGAGAGCTGCAATGGGAGCGCTTATGTTGTTTTTCCACCCCCCCACACCCCTGATTTTATGGTACTGTAAAGTAATCTGTTCACTTAATACAGCTCTGAACCGGTAAAATGTCCTTACACATCAGTATTTACAAAAATCTCTGTGCCCAGAGTTCCACTTTAATCCAACTTGAAACCCCTTTGCATATTCCAATTACTCATATACACAATTTCCCTTTCTGCTAATAAATTAGCCAAGCTGTACTGAATACTTGTAATTTGCATCTAAACCAGATGAACGTTCCATCAGATGAGTCACGTAAAGCTTCTTTATTAGAATAGCAAAAAGTAATCAATTGTACATTGGCTTAGTCCCTTTTTTAGGCTCCATGAAATGCAAACCATGCTCTAAATCATGGACATGGTCTGACATAAGCAGCAGACCTAATAAATAACATCTGAGAAAAAAAAGCTTGAATGCAATTAAAGTTGGTCTAGCAATTTTAAATGAAAAATTCTCATTCAATAACTTTTAACAAAACCTTCAATTTACACGCATGTTTTTTGTTTGTTTACTAAATGCAGTTTTATATCTCCCCTTTAAGCCTCATTCACACAAGAAAAGGCCGGCATGTACAGCTCTGTGCTACGTGCATGGCCGTATCGGGCAGCTCCCGGAAGGAGAGGTGCTGCATGTGATTAGTACCCAGCCCCTGTCCTTCTCTATGGGAGTATGCGGCCGTACGGCGCCCTATGGTCACCTTAAGCACAGGTGCGGGTGTCCCGGCTTCAACGCAGGGTTCCATCCTATCAGCCTACGAGTACGGACACCCGTACCTGCAAAGGGGGTGAGCGTAGGGCGGCATACGGCCACGTATTCCCATAGAGAAGGACAGAGACTGCGTACTAATCACACGCAGCACCTGTCCTTCCCGGGAGCTGCCCGATACGGTCGTGGGCGCATCACGGAGCTGTACCTGCCGGCCTATTCTCGTGTGAATGAGGCCTAAACTGTAAGGGGAGAAAAAAAATTATTGGTGCTTAGATAAAGGAGTAAAGCAGTGACTGAAGTTCACCAAACATTTCCCTGCAGGTGTATCTTCCTAGTGCAGGTTTTAAATTACTATGACTGATTCACCTGCAATAATTGTTTGGTGAATATCACATTCACAACTTTATAAACATGGGTAAAAGTATTTTTCTTTTTTTTTCAAGGATATTAAAAGCATTGCAAAGTACCTTGTTTATTGTTTGGAGGCAAATTAGTGAACTTAAGATCTAAAGCATTGTAAATCCTCATCCAAAAGGGACTCGGGTTGTTAATGCAGAAGTAAGAGTTTGAAGTATGGTACAGTGTTTGAGTCCGTGGGCTTGAGGTCTGGCCCCATTTAGACCTAATACTGCTCGTAGAACAAGTGTGAGTATGTGTGTTTATACTTCAGATCCTCATTTGAACAATGCTTACAGATTATGATAATATACTTGAGGAAATTACATATACACTTTACATGGAATATTCTCGTACTGTAAATTAGCGAACTTGCAAATTTGCCTTGTGGCAGTAGTAAGTACACCCCTACATTTATCACTGTAAATCCATGCCATAGGTATAGCCGGTCTTTATACCTCCGTTATCTGGGGTCTGATGTTCTCTATAATATTGAACTTGATGAGTCGCCCTACCAAGATCAAATTAATTCTCTAATGCCCTCAGAAAGAAGGTTGTTGATGCTTTTGAATCTGCAAAGGGATTCAAAAGGATCCCTAAATTCTTCCACTGTAAAATAAATAAGCTGTCTGTACACTTTGCAGTCTTTACTACGGTAGTAATATGACCATTTTGTGCTGCGATAATGCTTCTGCTATATACAATGGTATTTTATAGAGTTATCGTATTACAAAAAAAAAAAATTGTACACATTCCATTTAATGAAGAAGCACCCAGCTGAGAATAACTTGAAATTGGGGTTTGAACTTGCAGTGATTCTACCATTTACAGGGAATCATCAGAAGTTTTGTGAAACCTGACACAAGATTCACACATGTGCCTGGCCTTAGGCTGGCCTTATCTTTACAGAAAGCTTTGGGTAAAGGAAAGAAAAATCAATGTGAAGCAAGTCATGTTGAGAAAGCACAGATAGACACAGCAGGGACAGATATCACTGCTCTAAATGATTTCTTAATGCCTTTGGCTCAAAACATCTCCTGATTCTGTAGCAAAGCTCTTCCCA